CTCCCCCCCCCCCCTTCCCTCGTACAAATTCCATTAGTTTGCTGCAAAATCCAATCTCATCTTTCAACAGACTTAATTTTCCAAACTTTTAAAACCGAGACGGTCTTTTTAATTAATCGGGATTTTTTCCGACTACACCTCGGGTAATTGCGTAATGTTTTTTCGTAAAATGCGCGATCATCGTCAGCCGGAAAATGAAAACTGTCTCACTTTGCGCTCGTCGGCGCACGGCGCGACAGGTTGAAAGCATTTTCGGGGGGAGAAAGTGTGCAAGGTCGTCGAACATTTCCTCGTCAACGGCAGTCGCATCGTCGCGCGAACGTCGCAGTGCGCGTCTCAAACCGTAAAATGCGATATAGGTATTCACAATTACATGGGGATCGCGCTACTTCGATGTATGTACACCAAACGTCTACTTGACCGCTTACGGCTAAATGGGCCGAGGGAGTGCGGGACGCCTTTTACATTAAATCCGCCGGAGAAAAGTGCTCCCCGCTATATAACAGAGTGCTGCGCATATATTTGCTCGGGACGCGTATTTACAATGCCGATATTAATCGACCGTGCGGTGGAAGCGGCCGTCTATTCGTCTAACCGAACGGTTCCGGGCAACGAAAGTGAAACGACGAAATCGGGGAAGAGTAAGGGGAGGGCAACTCATTCGCACGACGAACTTTGATCGCAAAGGGTCGCTCGGCGAGTGGAAGTACATTATTGTTCAATTTCTCTTCCAGGCTCACCCCCGGGCAGCATCCGAAGCAATTCGACGCGCGCAACGCAATGTCACGTGCGTAATAACCGGTGCTGTCAATTTCGTCCAGCCGGGTATCTGAGTCTTTCGGGCTTTACCAATAAGCAACTCCGTCAGCGTAAATTTTTCTGTGAACCAGATGAAAAGCTCAGTTGCAGGAACAAAAAGATTCCCGTAGGAGGTTTCTACTCAGCCAATTGCTCTCAGTTACTTCAGCCGAGTTTTAATATAGCTGAATTATTCGGAGGAATATCTTCAGTCATGATGACAGAGATATTATTTTCCATCAGCGAGCTTCCCGTCTGGTCCCCATTCAGTTGCATAAGCTGAGATTTTTTCCGTGCCTAAGTACTTGTACTTTTTGGACATTACTCAGATATGTTTACTTGAGGTCTTCACGCCTACTTGGACCGAGAGAAGGCAGCTTTATTTTGCAACTTGAGTAACTTGCCAAATTTAATGAATGCATGAAACAATTTGACATCTTTACGTTGTTGATTCTTTAACATATAACAGATAACGAACGAATGCATTGCATACTCGTAATTATTTGCTCGGGTAATACCCGCGCGAGTGTGGATACCCGGACAGCACCGAGATGTGTAGAAATACCCAAGTTATACTGTCATATAATAATAACGAATTAATAATAACGCGAACAATGACGCCGTCAACATTACGTTAGAATCTTGAGAACGGACTCGCGAGTGACGATAACTAATTTATCAGGATCATTAATATAACGAACCGTCAAATCTGAATAGACTATCGATTTTCTTGTGACTCTCGTCGGTTACCAAAGAGTAATGATTTGCCGAGTAATGATGTCGTTGAATTATTACGATGACTGCAGCGAAGATTCGAGTTTTCTAAAAAAACGAGTTAGATTTTTTATATTTGACGCAATGAAGTGATCAGTTATTTACTTCCACCGTCCGTCTTAAGAAGCGCCGCGACGTACTTTAAATAAAACACTACACGCTATTGCACTACGCCTTTTTACAGTGATGCGCGTATACATACATACATATATATATACGTATATGTATATATATATATATATATATATATATATATATATATATATATTCGCGCTGTTATCTTCGATATACATCTTATTAAGTCGATTCATACGTCTTCTTATAATTTCCGCGATTTATTTTGATGATCAGTCGGTAGGAAACGATCACCTGGTATCTTACGCCAGGTTTGGCTCGATTATGCAGAGTACGACTTGTGTCTCGTCTTACCGAATGAAAACTAGAACTTTAGGTAACACAGATGACGCCAGAACTTCGATCTCGCGTATGTTCTTCTCATCGCTGAACATTTATTTTATCGTGAAAGTGAACCGCTAACACGTGTGGAGCAAGTATATCTCGCCGAGTTCTCGAAGATTCATGCTGTTCGAGATGTGTGTTGAATGTAACAATCCCGATTTGCGGATAAATCCTGTCCAAATAATACAGACGTAATATTTTGAAGTAAACATAATTGTTGTCGCTTGATAATCACAACAAATTACGGTCTATATAAAAAGAACTTGCAGCAAAAATTATTCTATATATTCTTTCAAGTTTCTGTAGAGCATTGCACAGATTTTAAAATAAATTATTGTCTGCTCATTTTTCCTTTCTGCAAAAAAAGAAAATGTTTATTTTCTTTCAGATCTCTTTAGAATATTGCATATTTTAATAAATTATTGTCTGTTCACATTGTTTTGTTTTGCAAGAAGAATCCAAAAATATTATCCTTCTTTCAAGTCTCTTTTTAAAATATTGCAGATTTTTGTCTGCTCATTGTTCTGTTCTGCGAGAAGAAGAAGAAGATATCAGCAATTTGTCGAGTCTACTTATTCATGGTATCAAAATGTCGTGTTCATTTGGACAGAACTTATCAGAAGACAACTGATAGACCATATCAATTACCGTCACCTCCGGTGTGAGTCGATCATCGCGGCGCGATTGCCTCAAATTCTGTCGGGAATCGTTAAGCATCTTCGATCTGGTATTCCGTGCCGAGTGTCTGATCAGCGACGCACGATTCACCAACATGATCTCGATACAGTCACCTTTCGTTAACGTAGTTTAACGCGATCACTCTTTTCCCCGACGAGGAGAAACCTCCATGTCTACTGTTTGGCAGGTCCATCTAAAGGGTAAAGTCCCTGGCCCCCAAGACGCGGTCAAACGTTGAGTTTACTCAGCAACAATACAAAATGCTCGAACACGTTTGACGTATTCTCGATTAATTACGCTCTCGTTGAACTCCAGCAATCGTGGACGTTTTGATCATTCCGCGAGGACCTACAATATGATCAGCTTCCCGCCTCGGTAAGTCACCGTCGGTTGGCGGTCGGTTTCGCCCCGGAGGAGAACATCGCCAAACTCCTAGACGAGCGGCGAGAACGCGGACGCTTGACTTCTGATCTCTCTGTGCTCCGACGGGCTGAGATCCAGCAGCGCACCACAGTTCTGGTCGCTAGCCGCCTGTTTGCCGATGAGGGCGTCTATGCTGAAGTTCCGCTTCTTGTCGACGCTCGTGTGGCTAGCTGGTATCGTCGGAACCCTCGCAGAGCTCGGGTCAATCTGCCTGATAGGAGGCGCCGTGATGGGCACTGGTTTGTAGAGCGGCGGCGGCGGCTCCAAGAAGCCGCCGAGCTTCAGTGCCTCTAAGGTAGACGGCGAGAAGTCCAACAGTGGCAAGCCAGGCGGTGGCGACAAGTAAGCGGCGCCGGGATAAGCCAAGGCACCCGGATGACCGCTGCCTCCACCTGGACATGGTCCTCGATCGCCGCAGATGGCGAAAGTGGCCATGATCGCTCGATCTCGTAGGACGTAATGTGGCGGCGGTCTCTTGTATCTCTTCCTACGTCTCAGGAAGCTACCGTTGTCGAACATGTCCTCCGCGAGTGGGTCCAAGGTCCAGTAGTTGCCCTTGCCGGGGTTGCCGGGCTCGCGGGGGATTTTGATGAAGCAGTCGTTGAGCGACAAGTTGTGCCTGATGGAGTTCTGCCAGGCAGGGAACTTGTCGTGATAATAGGGAAAGCGCGACATGATGAACTCGCAGATGCCGCTGAGCGTCAGTTTCTTCTGCGGCGACTGCAAGATCGCCATCGTGATCAGCGCGATGTACGAGTACGGTGGCTTTATCAAGGACGACGACATCTTGTCCGAGCCGTATCCGGAGGACGGCTGGCTGGAACCGCCGGATTTCTGCTGACTTGACGCCGACATCATCGAGTATGTCTTCTTGGAGCGGCTACTGCCGCTACTGCCCCGACTTCTCGCCGGCGGTGTCGGCGTCGGGGTCGGCGTCGGCACCGGGGAGCTCGGTATCACCGGGCTCGACGACGACTGCGACGGCGACAGATCGTTCTTGTCGAGACTCACCGGGTCCACGATCATGCTGCTGCTGTCGGAGTCCCGGTCGCTGTCCGCGCAGCCGTCGCACGACAGGTTCGACATCATCATCGCACGTGGCTCCATCGTGATCGCCTCATGAGCGTAAGGGCTCCGCTTCCGAGATACCGTCTATTTCGCCGACGGTCCCGCGACCGATCCTTCGAGGCTACCGCTCGCTTTCATCCTCCGTCAAGTACCGTCGCAGGTGCAGGTGTTTTCTCTCTTTCTCTCCCTTTTCTTTCGCCTTTACGTTTATCCGGCGAAAATCTATTATTTTTTTTTAAGAGAATTCCCAAGATTCTAATTGCAAACATGCATCGCTTCTGCACGGAGGACCGGATTTTTGATGAAAAATACTCTGTATTGCGAGCTCCAGATGAATTACAGCGCGTCTCGAATTGCTTTCACTCGCGAAACATTCTTTGCTCAACAAAAATTCCGGTTGTTAAAACATGACGAGATTCTAGATCTATGTCAAACGTCCGCGAGATTTCTCCAGGGAGTACCAAGAGCTGCTGTTCCTCCTCGCGACGAGCGCGTTCCGTTACAAAAAACGATCTCACAACTACGCTCTTCCCTTACTTCTTGGTTTGACAACTGCCGTCACGAGCGGTAAAAATGTCGTCTGCAAGTCATCCGTCCGTCGTCGACGAAGACACGCGAGTAACTTCTGTTCCGGTGTGCTTCAGCGCGGCGACTGTCACACGCCTGCTCTATCCGCTTGACGAACGTGCTATCTTACGCTAATAGTTTGTTTCCACAACGATAACGGGATTTTTCTCGCGTTCTCCCCTGCTTCTTCGCGTCTTGCACCAACTCGCGCGGCCTTAAACTGCGTCGCACGCGTCAGCCCGGCGCACCGTCAAGGATGCCTCTCGCGATTCGCCTACGAGGACACGTTCCATCGTGCACCTTCCTCCAGCGACGCCTAAGCGAAATCCGATCGATCGGCCTTCTCCAGATCGGATCTCACAAAATCGACCGACGTCTTCCTTTCTGTCAGAAAGAAACGGACACTTTCCTGACGAGCTTTTCTTAATCCGAACGAAATGAGTCTTCGAGATTCGCCTCGCACAGTGTCTTCTGCTTCCGTCGACTCACTCGCTGCAAAAATGATCTTGCTGTCACACGACCAGTCGTATGGTCCTCTTCGTCGCAGAGAGCGAACCCTCGACGGCCTCGATTCGGATAAAATCGTCCTTCAGAACTCGATTGCGTTGATTTACACGAGAAGTCCGAGAACAAGTCATTCGCGACGTCCTCGTGAGGCTTCCTCCCGAATGTTTCTCGCTCTTGAACTTGGCGAACGGAGAAGGCGGTGGTAGGGCCGCGTTTTCGAGGTTAAGACGATCAGCACGGGAAGAGCGCGAGGCCGCGGACGACGACGACGGCGGAGGATGCGCGATCGCGAGCGTAGGATCGTCTACGGGGTGAGATCGAGGCTCGAATTGATTCGAAAGCGACCGCTCCGGTCCTACGTGGGCGGACCAATGGGCGGGTATTTCAACCCCCACGTTCTCGCGCCCCGTTTTGACGAAGCTACCCCACCGTCGCCGAGCTCGGACCGACGCGTTTCCACCCTGGCTGGCTGGCGAGGGTGGAGGAGCGGCTACGTGGTGACGAGGAGAAAGCCCCGGAGGGGGTTAGGATGGGAGTTAGGAAAATAGCGGGATAGTTAAAGGGACTTTCGAGGCGGGGATCCGGGGGGGTAGGGAGGGCGAAATTGTAACACTCCGGGGGCTGATTTGCTTTGAGCGGCGCGATGAAGGTGGAGGAGCGCGAGCCGCGAACGCGAATCTGTGAAGCGTTTTCGCCGACGACCTTCGTGCGAGCGATCGCTCGCGGATACCAATTTTGTGACGAGGTCGCGTCTCCCTTTTTTCTTCTCTCACGATTTTTTGTTGCAAACACCGCGACCAAAAAATATTTTCCGCGTTTTATTCGATGTGATCAATATAAACGCGATCCTCGTGTGTCAACGTGCATATTTTATAAAGTATCAAGAAAAAGGACGCAATCTGAATTTGTTAATGTCTGATCGTCATTGCCGTGTATATCGTTCGAGATACGACAATTGCCGAAAGATGCAGCTCAAGAGAATGCAGCTCGAAATATTTTCGCATGTCCGCGCTTACACGATATTATTCTACTTGCTCGTTCGACTCGACGCACTATACTACTCTACCCCGAGTAACTTGATTCACGAGCGTAGTCTTGTGCTTCCAGTCGTTTCAATTCGAAAGCTGTCTTCATCTTACGTGTCAGAGTACAAATTCAATTGTAATTCTTCGCAGAGGCCTTCGCCGTCGAACTAAAATCACGATTCAGAACATTATAGAGTTATTTTCAATTCACTCGCCAACATTAAACATCGCGACAAAGGGGCTTGTATCTCCGCCTTTTTTTTTCTTATTGATAATCCGAAAAAAAGCAACACGCCGCGACGCGACGCAAAGGTTAAGGAAATAACTAAGCGCCATTATCGCGTCGCATTTTCATCGTGGGAGTGCCGCAACCAACGACTAGATCCGTAGAATCGCCAACAGAGCGAGACGAGCTGCACGCATCACAAGTTAACTTCCCTGAGGCGGCTCAAATAGAATCTGTATTACGCTAGAGCGGTACATAGAGAGAGAGAGGGAGAGAGGGAGAGGACGGAGGTGAGAGCGAGAAGAGGGATGAACAGGAGGGAGATCACGCGAGGGGTGAGGGACGAGCGCGAGAAGCACGCGAATGTACAGTGGGCGTCACAAATGCCTTAAAATTTGCTAAATAAGTACTCCAATCGAGTCAGACTCATCGTGCATAAATACCGATGCCGATTGACACGTGTCAAAATCAGTGTCGGTTTCTGCTGAGCGTTGATGACTTCTTCTCACGTACCGCACACGTCTTGTCGTGAATATATTCTGTAAGCCATAAATAAATATTTGTTGAGGTATCAAGGAGAGACGGAAAGCTCAGCCGATTAGTAGTCACGCAGCGTTAAAGATACAATTTTGCTCGGTCATCTATTGCTCTTTGTCTCAATTTGATATTTGGCGCACGTCGAGGTATTCGCGACGACCAATGTACAAGCGAGAGAGCAAGAGAAGCGGAGGTAGGCGACGGGACGTCCGTCCGCGCTGCGGGAGACAGGATGAGAGAGAGAGAGAGAGAGAGAGAGAGAGAGAGAGAGAGAGAGAGAGAGAGACGCGGAAACGGCAGAACCGCGATATATAGATACGGATGCGAGTCTACCTGGGCGCACTATCGGTTCACAGAACCGAGCCGAGAGCGAATATTGTGTTTACCCGTACGCATGGCTTTGCGGTGCCAATAATCTGGTATTATTGCACTTACTCCACATACGGACGAAACTCTTCGCCAACTACCGGGCCTGCTGCGCTCTCGCACGCTTCCGCTTCTTTGTCACGCTCTTCGCGCACCGGATTTCAATATCGCTCGTGCTAATGTTAATGTCGCATATTGTGTCGCTGCATCCCTGAAGTCTCGCAACGAGCGCAATGCTCGAGAGCGAGGATTATTATTATTATTGTCATTATCATTATTATTATTATTCGAGAGTCTCGCGCTCGGTATTGTCGCGTGTACGATTCTATCTGAATCGCCACATTTCTAAAAGGATATATAGCCCATCTATCCTAATTGTTTTAGAAGAACACGAGAAACCGTCTGAAAACCCTGCATTGCTAAAATGCAAAAAATTTTTTTTTTCTAAACAAGGGGGCCGTAATTATCTGTGGAAATTTCACGATTGTTTATGCTCACTAGTTGATGTAATAAATTTTCAAAAGTGATGAACTACGATCCCTTTTGAAAATTACAACCACATTTTCATCATTATTCTTGTTATTTGGTACTTTTATCATCTCATGAAAAGTAAATATGAAGAATTGTATAAATAATGGCAATATACACAAAATCTAAACTAGTCTAGAAAGTAATGAAAGAAAGAAAGTAGCGACGTTGATAGTGGGGGATGTTTACGTAGAACGCGGTTTACCGTCGCGACCAAAGTATACAAGCTTGTTTTGAACTTGTCGTTCTTATATCAATAGATTTGTAGTCCGAGACTCTTTGTTCCTTTTCAAATGTCATTTCATACTTCTTCGTTTTTATGCAATATAAAACGGTGGATTACAACCTTTTGCTTAAAAAAATTGTGTTTTCGCTGGTAGATGGAGAATCTGGCGAAAACTCAATTTCTCAGGATTGGTGACTATGCCACCTTTTAAAATATGGCAATTTATTTGCACTTTGACGCTTCACTTCCAAACTTATAACTCATGAGATAAATTGACACCTCGACGTTCTCGCAGAGAATGGAGGGAGGGGAATAAGGCAACCATGTTCCAAATCGATGAAAGAAACGTAAAAAGAGAGAGATTAGAAAAGAAATATCACGGAATTGGGATCGCGAACGCCAACGTTTCGCAATGTAATTCGCAGTTTTATTGCAAGCAGATTTGTTATTTCAAACAGATTTCTTTTTTTTATTAATTTGTACAATAAAACAGTAGCATGTATTATCTATTGGTGGCCCGAGTTGGAAGTAACGATTGCATCTTACAGTGCAAAGAAACAAAACTCGGCGAGCTAGTGAAAATATTTTCGCGCGTCGGGCAATTCGGGCGTCTTCTTCATTTGCGGCGCGCGAATATCGTAGCGGCAAGGTGTCGTAAAAGCTCTGCCTTTCTGTCTCCCTTGCCGATTCAGCGATTACCGCCTTAATCTCAAGTTCTGGTTAGGTTAAGACCGACGGCAGGATGGGACGGACAGTGGGAAAGGGAAACGCGCAGAGCCGGTATAGAACTCTTCGAGGTTCGCCATTCACTTCGCGGCGGATTGCGGATTCCGAGAGTTCCACCATTCGATTCGATTGCTTCTTACCCTGGACTCTCGCCGTTCTCGTATTTACCCCCTGATTTCTTCCCCGTCCTCTTCACACTCCCCTCAGACGAAATCTTCTGTAAATTCCGGGGCGAACCGCGATCGGGTGTCGACTTTATACTCGCGGCTACGAAACTACGAACAACGGAGGAAACTCATTCGCTGTCCTGCTGCTGCTGTTAGATTCGACAGAATCATTGATTCGATTTGACCAGTCTTCCAAAGGGAGTATCGAACACTTCATATAAAAGCCTTGCTTGGTATTGAGCGCGATATATACAAAGTTTCTACTTTGTGGTTGCAAATACGAATTCTTCAGAGCGAATTCGCGTGACACGCCTTTCGCGCATCGCAAAGAGACTCGCGGATTTAAGGAAGCGCTGACGCATCTTGCCAGTCGCGCATATACCGCAGTGCGACCTAAAATTCGCGATTTTCTCTCTCTCTGCCTCTCTTTGGCAAGAGAGAGAAAGAGAGAGCGGCGCGTCGCGAGAAATACGAACGCAGCCGCAGCCAGCCGCCGCTTTGCGGTGACCCAAGTATGACGTGGAGCAGCACAAAGCCCACAAAGGGACTTTGAAAGAGAAGAAGAAGAAGACGACGAGTACGCGAAGTCACTAAGAATCGTGGAGGAGTGCGAGCGGCGAAAGAGCGAGTGTTTACCGGCGGAAAGGGACCGCACCGCGATGCGGATAACTCGTCGACGTCGTGGTAGTCGTAGTAGTGGTGGTGGTCGTTGTCGTCGACGATGACGGCGGCGTCGGTCCTTCTCACGAAGCCGGCGAGATTATACCGCCATCTTGGATGTTGGTAAATATCCCGTGCCGAAAGAGCCTTCAGTCGAGCGAGGGATCCAGTATGGGCGGAGAAGTAAGCCGCCGCTACTACTAGCCGCTCGTAGTCGAAGAAATGGTGGTGGTTGTCGTGGCGATGGTGACGATGATGTTAGTAGTGGTCGTCGTCGCCGAAAGAGCGTAGGAGGCACCGTTCAAGGAAGTCGAATGCCTCAGGGAGGGGGAGAACAAAGTAGGGGTGGTGCGGAAAGGTAAAGAAGTGCGAAGAGGTCTTGGTGGCACAAGGCGAATATCCCCCCGCTACAAAGAATACTGTCGGCTTTGCACCTTTTCCAAGACGTCGTTTTCCCGCTTCGGGGAGTCTCTCCCCTTCCTCATCTTCCGCTTGCATCTCCACCTCCCTCCTTCTACTGCTACTTCTCTTGGTCGAAAGCCTCGGCTGGTCCTTCTCCACCCCGTCCGCCACTTCTGTGTCGCCGAGATGTCCACCCACCCTGTACTCGCCGTTCTGCTGCAACACACGTCGAGAGAAAGAGAGAGAGAGAGAGAAAGAGAGAGAGAGAGCGAGAAAGAGAAAGAGAGAAAACAGCCATTTACCTATGCGGTTCAAAGACGGTAAACCGACCATCCGCCTTGTTGCGATCGAATTGTCCGCATGACACATGGCGAGCTCCATACACGAACAGTTATTGGACTTAGACTCATTACGCCGTGGCGTCACGTCTACACGGAAAAAACAATTCTGTTGGTGCAACCGAATTTTCGGTTGCTCAGAGATCAGACGAAAACTCGACTGTAGGAACAGTAAAACTCCTTTATGAAGCTTCTGTATAGTCAATTGTTCTTAGTTGCCTCAACCGAGTTCTAATATCGTTGAATGTTCAGACGAATATTTTCGATCCCGACAACAGAACTATTAGTTTTTCATAACAGAGATATCGCTTCTGATCACCTAATTTTCAGTTGGTTCCTATTTGATTGCACCAACTAAAATTTTTTTGCGTGTAACATTAATGAAGTATTAGCTAGAGATTACACGACAACACTCGACTGAAGACTGCATTGGTCTCGGGCTATTCGAACGAACAAATGTTCGTTCATTGCCTTAGCACGATCGGGTTAGTCGAGTTATTACGCAGCTCACTCCGTATATTGTCTTATTCGATTTCGCGCAGATTGAAGAAAGACGGGCAGGGGTCCGGAGAGGAACCCCCCCCGACGGCCCGATTTTGCGGTGAAGCCGCGATCCGAATCTGAAATTCAATTCAATGCAAATTTGCCGGCGGGGAACACACTTACGGCCTAACCGGCGAACGAGATCGAGGATTCGCCAGGACGCGGTAAACACTCGACTCGCTTTTGCGAGACTTATGAAATATTGATAGACACATCGTTGGCGTGCGACGCTAACGATGTCGTCGTCATTATGTAAGTGGGAAATACTTGATGGACGAATTACTAGGGATCGCGGGTTTTTCGTCGCGACACTTCATTACCGCGCCTATCTCCTTGTGAAACGCCTCGTCGCACGATTTTTGCGACTTCGCCGGTCACATCTGTAGAAAATGACGAGCGAAAATTTAGGATTATACTTATACGGCCGCTTTTGAGGTTTATTTTTTGTCGTGCGTTTTCAACAATTTTCTGAATCAGTCATTATTCAATCTTCTGAATCAATCAATTTATTGAAGAATTGCGATTTATTGTCAGTATATTATCAATATTGTCAATATTCTCAAAGAGAATCATTTTGTGGGCATCTATGTGGTAGCAATTTTCCAAATTGCAAATTTATTGGCTTCGACTCGAGATTAGGAAACTTCCAAATTCGAAATTGACAAGTTTGTCGATTACATGTATAGGTACTTCATATTGGGCATTAATCGATAAAAATTTTCTTTAACTAAAAGGATCAGCAAATCAATCACTAAAACTAAGCAATTGTTATATAGAAAATTGAATTAATCGTTAATCAGCATATAATCAATCACATCAAAGTTTGATCTTGATTGATGAATCGTCATATATAAAATCACAAATAATTTCATCGATTTATATAATTAACTGTAATTATTAGATTGATCAAAGTAACAGTAGCGACAGAGTTGGGCATTAATTTATTAAAATTTGTTTACTAAAATAATCGGTAAATCTCCAAACAATGAAAATTAATCAGTCATCGTATATAAAATTATCATATAAAATTATGACGATTAAAATGACGATTGATTAAATTTTGATTACTGTTTTGCCCATTATTTTAGCCCAAAAAATATATTAATAGACTAATTCCCAACACTGTCGGTTATTATCGGTCATAATCTGTCTGGGATGCAAATTACCGTAAGCTCTAGGGTTGTTCAGCAAGCCAGCCGCGTTCACAGACTTACCCAGCGAGAGAAACTCGTCCGAATCCACGAAATCGGATTCCGAGATCATACTGTGTCTTCGCGAGTCAGCCGGTAAAACGTATCGCGTGTTCTAACGAAATATAACCGGCGCGCAGCGTAAAAGCGTTCGTGGACGCACACGGCACTCGAGCAAAAAGGGGCCACGCTCTCTCGAGCACGTAGGGAGAGTAGACGGGCCAACGATCCCAATTACAAACATTTCTCGTGGCTTTTCAGAGTTGCATTTGGCCGAGAAGGGCGCTCTCCGTCGGGGTGCATTTTATAGTTTCCTCGCCCGTCTCTCGGCCAGCCACCGAAAGTACTTTTCGTTTTCGAGTACGTACGAGCACATGTGGGTTGATTTTCTCTTTCTCCAGTCCAGTGCCGAAGCTTTCCGCACCCTTGCCGCTGTGTCACCTTACGCGCAAAAGCCTCGCGTTTTGCTCTCCGTTCATTCTGCTTCACTAACACGAACAAGTTATTTTTCAATTATTTTTATGTATCCGTCACGAGAATTGTGTCAAACGTTACTTTTACGATCGATTCGAATATTTCCGACTTTCCCTAGACAGTTGACGTTGTGTAACACTATACGACAACTATTTTATTATATTTTATTCATTACATTTACTTCCAGAAAGGGGAGGTAGAAGATTACTCTTGATCTCCGCGATCGGGAATGTCATAGGAAAGTTATCCGCAGAAACTCAGAATTCGTTTCTTTCCTCCAGAAAAGCCGATCAATCATCCGACGATCGCTTCAAGAGCTCATAAAACAAATCATTATTTTAGAATGTACGACACAAATGACAGTTTCTTCAGAAATGAAAATTTTTCATATGGAATGCTCAATAATATTTTTGTACTGCGTACTGCGCACTTAATCGCGAACATCAAACGACGGAGGGTGAAGAGCGCGAGGAAGACGTAGAATGAGGGAGAAAGAGAATGAGACAAGGGCGAGTATAGCAAGGCGGGGGAGCGGGGGTGATAATTTGTTAGCGTGCGCGCACCCCAAATGCGCGAAATCCCGTCGAAGTGCGGCTCGTGCGGCGCATTGTTTCCTTGTTTGCCAGGTGTTTCGAGCACCGCGGCCGAGTGGAGACCATTGTTGCGAGAAGTCGTGCCAGCCGCTCTCGACAAAGCCGGCGATCTAATGCTCTTTTATTGTGCATTGTGCGCGGCCGAATCAAGAAACAGGGTGGCGGTACACGCACGCGGTAAGGATGTGCCGTTCGAAGAGCCGTTGGCGGCATCGATGACGATGACGACGTCGCCACCTGACCGACGGCTACATTACTTGTCGGATTGCCTTCGTTAATCGCGAAAGATCCTCATTAGAGAATCTCGCGAAAGCGCGACACATATAGGAGGTTGCAAAATGCTACCACAAGCCTATCTACAGCCCTCTGAGTCGACCTTCTGAAAACCTCTTCTTGATCTCCTAATTGTTGAACGATAAGCTATTTCTGTGGTATAACTAATAACGCGATCGTATCAAATTTCGATGAGCGATCCAAGGTACGTTTCCCATCGTGTGGGTGAATGATCTCTCTTTTAATCGATAGAGATTGAAGACGCGCTTCGAGTACTTACGTGATTTCCATCTTGCTCGGCAGCTGTTAAGCGAAAGTTAATCAAGCAGGACTCCCCACAAAGCAGGCAGTTTCACGTATGGCAAAGATTTATTGTATCATAATTGGGTACTTAAATGAAATATTCCAAAGAGGAAAAAAGAAAAGGAACATACCTAATCGTCGCGAAAGTAATCATCACATACATCGATCTTATCCGCTTGCCATCAGAAAAGATAGTCACCTCTTTGCAAATCAAATCTACCACCTTTCGCTCTAGTAGATTCTCCTTCAAATTACGAGGTGAGTTTTCTCTCGTGTCATTAGCGTGACACAGAGAGACTAATACGCGATCTTAGGCTCGATTACTTATCGTTTTCGGGGAGCGATTCTCGACAGGAAAGCTTTCGCGTGTACACAGAGCGTTGAAAAGCCTTAAAACCTCCAAATTATTGTTTTTGTAATTATTATCGTTCAGCTTGTCGAAGACACGCCACGCATCGTCGTAGACACGTGTCTTCTTTTTCGTTATTCCATTTTTTCTGTTTTTTTTTTTCTTATTTTGTACAGTCTCCACCGATTTCTTTCCGTCGTCGACCATCGCAGGACAAATATCTACACGATCCCTCAAAAAGTCGCATGTAAAAACAGCGGGATTTGGATTTGCACGATTATTTGCACAATGTATAATTGATCGTCCGCCGTACTAACGAATTTCACGGATGTTGGGACTCGGGACTGTTCGAATTGCCATTGAAAAGCGGTATTGTCGTTATCACTCCGACGCGTGATCGCAATTACAAGTGTCGGGTAATTATTAAACGATGATAAATAATTTACCACTATTATTACATAAATACATACACAGTGTAAAATGTCGACGTGATCGCTGAATGGTTCGGTGTGACTAGTGTAAAATACTCGTCGGTCGAAATCATGCGGGTAGAGGAGCGGGGAAATTGCAATGAGCCTCGACAAACGACGCGTCCAGCACGTAAATCCGGATTGGACAGGAGAAGTATCTGCTTATAGATCTTTGTAGCTTGAAACACGTGTGTTGTGCACGAAAAGTCGACGTGAATGCTCGCGCGTTCTGTTTTACACTCGCTGGGAGGCAATTTGTCGTCTCAGAGAAACGGGACATTCAACGCACATTCAAGCCGCAAAATGACTTGCGACATTTGCATATCGGGCAAAACCGTCGTGTCGTGTGACACAGCTTCGCGGACGAAACTTTTCCCTCCGATCCGGTCTCACTCGCATAAAAATGCCTCGGCTTGGCCGACTAGACGCTCAAATACGGCGAACACAAAGTAACGGCGTGTGTGAACGTATAATTCCACCTTCTTCGAGGTCTCTCTCTCTCGCGCGCGTGAGAGCGGCGTAATCGAACGGCGAATCCGGAAGGGGGAGCTTGCAGAAGAATGCACGTCGTCGTCGGTGACGTGTGCGAATGCCTAATGCAAAAAGTATATAATCGATTCATGCTAGTTAAAAATGTATAAAAATCATGTTTTGATTTCCCCAATACGCGCGCTATCGGTTAGTAGCGGTGGTTTGACCGGCCTCTCTCGCGAAGCTCCCGACGCAACGGTTACGCATAAGTGACTAGAATCGTTCGTTCAGACAGTTACAAATCGATCGGCATTCGCGAGCTAACGTTGCCGCGGCGAGGCGACCGCGTCGCTGTCGCGTTACACGATCGTGTGAAATTAAACGACAGCTAACAATCACGCAATGTATAATCGTGGGAAATCATGTGAATCTCTTTGCGTACAGAGAAAGAGAGAGATAGATAGATAGATAGATAGATAGATAGATAGAGAGAGAGAGAGAGAGAGAGAGAGAGAGAGAGAGAGAGAGAGGAAGAAAGAGAGAGAGAGAGAAACAGACAGACAGACAGAGAAAGAGAGAAAGATCGATAATATCCTAACATCAACTATAATATATACAAATTCGTTAAAACAGTGACTAGTTCTTTCGGAAACGGCTGTGTGTCGGAGTAATCTCATAGTCAGCAATCTCCAACGAAATATCCTCTGAACAACCGTCGACTTTCAACGACAGATTTAAGACTGACGTTTTTGGCTCCTTCCACGAAACTGAAATGATCCTACTTCAGGGCGAAACGCGTGGATGCTCTAAACGAATCCAATATGAGGTTTTACAACAAAGTGTATATCGTAAAAATATCAAATCGACGGACTTGAACAAATCTCCAGAAAAACGATGGGTTTCGTGATGCGAGACAAGCGCGGCGAAAGTTCACTATTAACAATACTTCCGAGGACGTGCGGACAACGCGCAACGTTCCTCCGTCAATTTCGCTACGTTAAAATTGCTTTAGCCGCGTTCGAAGTATTGCTGTAGCGAGGCTTCACCGTTCCTTCACGATCCGCCGACGTAAACGTTCCGAGCGCGCGACGGAAACGTCCCGGTAGCCGAGCCTCAGTCGACCGGAAGTCCCAACGTGTCGATTGGTGTCGATCCGTCACCGTGCGCTCAGCGCGGGGTTTTCAGCGACCTTCTCTTCCGCCCCTAGTCGCTCGTCGCCGTCATGGAATGTCGGGGAATCAGTTGAAGAAATCGTCGCCGTCGAACGGGTCGCTCTCGCGCGCGAAGATGTTGACCGATTCCGACTTTCTGATGTACTGATCGCCCCTGCTGCCCTTGTTATTGTTATTATTGTTCCCCGGCCCGTATTTCTGCCTGGAATTCTTCAACGGCAACGTGGTAGCACGATGGTCCGGCACGTTGTCCTCCAGCTCGGACTTGAAGACAAAGGCGTCGTCGTCGAACCTCAGGTCGCCGTTAAAGAAGGAGTCGCGACCGCTGTCTTCGGAGACGAACCCGTCGATCGGCTGCTGCGGCTCCTTCGTGTCGCACGGCAGCTCCTCCGGCGTGGCTTTCAGATCGGCGGATAATCTTTGCCGGTCGGAAGCGTCGCTGGAGGCGCTCGCCGTCGGCGTGAGGTCGTCCTCGAAGTAGCTCGATCGCTTGCTGTACTCCCTGCTGATGTCTCTCCTCAGATGATCCTTCGGACATCTGATGCCAGACGAAGGACTGGGCGGTGGCGGTTCACGCTTCTGATCGGCGGCCTCCGGTCGTATACGCGTGTCTACCGGTGCCAACGGTTCGACCGGGCCGGCCGCTGCCGGCTCCACGTGCTCGACGCTCTGCGCGAAGTCGTCCTCGAACGGGCTCTGTGTCTTTTGGCTCGGTCGCGTTTTGTGCCTTGCTATCCTCTTGCGATGGAGCGTCTCGCTCTTGGAATCCGGACCCTCCGACCAGTACGGCCGTTCCACCCAGCTGTCGTACTCTTGATCGCTGCCCCAGTAGCTCTCACGGCTCCGGGAGCGTTGGGAAGACCGGAGGCCCAGGTATGGGTCCGAATCGTTGTCGCTGCACTCGGACCTGAAGCAGTGTTGTCGTTACAACTTGGATCTTTGTGCCTGCCTACCTGAATAATACTCGGCTTTCCAATATATATAGGGATATATAGGGATTATAGCGAGTACCTAGGTAGTGAGTAGTTACGAGCAATCCATTAGTTCGTTAGAAAAATCAATAATCTGCACAAACCCATTGATTTCTTGAAAAATGAAAGTACTGATTCCCGACCATGTTCCTATATCCAGACACAATCTCGAATGTTTCTGTTCCTATTGTTTCGTTATGAACTAATATGATTATGGATGATTATACATGGCCATATATAGACAAAATTCATATGTGATCTTTTTCTCCCGGAGTTCTATTATAATGTTAACTATTAAATTCAGCCATTTGTATCAATTCATGCATACACAATTCATGCATGTGTTACTCGTTATCTGAGAATGGTCAAATTTGGTGATTGTTCAAATCAATTGCGAATTAGTTATAATAAAATTATAAAAGCTAGTATATAAAAATATATGTAGTTGATAAGTTCTTCATAAATTTCTTTTATCATAGTCATTATCATGGAATAGTTACAGACAGAGATTAAAAATTTTTATTTGTATGATAACCCGGATATTGGATTGGAAGATTTTAGCAATCAGAACGAACACTTTAGAATGTCTAGATATTGAAACATTCTGTTTTTATGCATTCGTTCATTATTTCTTATTGTTAAAAAAATCGCGCACGCGAGCGATAATCAGTAATATCTGAAATAATCCTGTATTCGGGTATTCGAGTATAGCCGAAACTGACAACACTGACCTGGAAGCGCCAAATTTGCGCGGATCCGCGTATACCATGTCGGAATTGCGACCCTCGTTCGCGCTGTTGGGTCTCTTTGGCCAATGTCTTTTCCTGCCAGCCGGATTATACCTAGGCGAGTCGTCTCCTGGACGCTCTGGACCATACTCCTCATCCCAAGTGGACGGGTAGTCGTGAGGTCTGTCGCGATAATAGTAGTACGCGTCTCTCATCGCATAGTCGGCATCGGGTGGTCCTCTTCTCGTCCAGAATCTAGGATCCTCCTCCCACCTTCGCCTTTCGTATCTTCTTCTGCTCCATCTATCCTCCTCGTCGTAGCCCATACTTTCTTGGCTACCGAAACGTTCCAGCTCCTCGTTCCACAGCATCAGCTTCCGTTTGCGCTCGTCGTCGTAATAGGAGCCATGAACGTCATGACTCCAATTACAACGACCTTGTGGTTTCGGCCTGCACTTCCAGTGCGCCTCGTACTGGTCCTCATCGTCCTTGTAGGGTACTTTCCTATGCGGATACCGCCTCGGCTCGTCTTCCCATTGACCCTCTTCGTGCCACGGCGAAGGATCACGTGGTCGGTGAGCGGTACTCTTTGTCCACGGTGCCGCGCGCGACTTCCTGCTCATCCTCTCGCGAAAGCTGCGATCCCGCTTGTCGCCCTCTTCGTAGAAAGGCCTCTCTTCCGGCGGGTCGAAACGCGGGTATCGCGAGCCGGACCAGTATCTGGTGTCTCCGCGCACTCTACCGTTACTCTCCTCGCTTTCCTCTTCGTCTTTCCATTCGTTGTCGCTGTCACCGGAATGGCGATAGCCGCTGCCGCCTTTGAACGGCACTTCCCGGTGGAAGTCCTTGCCATCAGGTGACCACGGCGAAGTACCGCCTATCGAGCGTTGCCCTTCGCAGGACGATCTGTCCGAACCGAAGATACTCGTGTCAAATTTCGCCCAGTTACCATCCTCTTTGCCGTCGTCCTTGTCGGACTTCGACGACGTCTCCGTGAACGGGCAGAACATGTCCTCGAAGCCCGACGTCGTTGGCGGCTTGGTATCCTTAGCGCGATGTGTGCCGGTGTTCAGCATCTTGATTTCTTCGAAGATGTCCATCGCCACGGCCTTCAAATCATCGATCTTCCTTGTTGGTATAATCGACGGCGGCGGCAAGTTGTCCGGGAATAGATTCAACAGCTCCCCCTCGGCCAAGCTTTTCGGCTGAGCCGACTGCGGTAGTATCACCGGCGACGCTCGAGCTGAATTCATCATCTCCTCGTCGTCTTTTCTCACCGGCGGCTCCGGTTCACCGATGATTTCCCGCAGAGCGGCGTACCTGTCGCTCGACGTCGACGTCGAAGACTTAACCTCGGAGGACTTCTCAGCCACGGAAGAGCCGTTCGTCTCTTCACTGAGGATGTCTGAGCTGACTTTGTCGGATGTACCATTCGCGTCACTGCCTTTCTCCAAACTCTCTGCTTTCTCTTCTACCTCCATTATCGTATGCGTTTTCTCTGTGTCGTCTTCGACGTCTATCTCCGTTTGTTGAACCGTAGAAGAATCAGACGTGACGTCCGCGTCCGCCGTCGCCTCGTTCTCCTTCTCCATATCTCTGTCTTCCATTTCTATCGATATCTCCTTCTCCATTATCGAGCCTCCGAGAGAGTCGCTTGTCTCGTCGACGAGTCTTCCCACAGGTTCTTCTTTTAAGAGATCTTCGCCATTAGGAGGTAACTTGACGGTTAAGTTCACCAGAGAGGCTAAGGAGTCTGAAGTATTCTCCGCAGCCTGTATTTCCGCCTGAATTTCCACTTCGTCAGGAGTTCGTTCTTCGTTGGGCTCTTCCTCTTTCATGACCGTCTCCTCCATCTTTGCCTCCTCTTTCTGCTGCTCCATCTGCTCCATTTCCAACAACTCCCGGAAGACCGCGTATTTGTCGTACGTGGTGTCTTGCTTCGGTTCCGGTTCGTAGCTAGACTTGAAGGGCTCCGAAGATGTGAAAGTTGTCGTTTCCAGCGGCCTCGATGACGATAACGTCGAAGACGTCGACAGCATGGGTCTAACTGGAATGTCTTGCTCTCTGGTCGTGGTCGCTGTCATCGACTGCGACATGACACTTTCTTCCGTGTCTCCAGTGGCCTCCTCCTTCATCGACAAACTCGCCAGGCATTCCGTGAGCTGCTGCAAGGTCAAGTTTGTCAACTCCTGAACAGACATGCCGAGACTAGAAGCCAATTCTTCCAAGTTCGATGACGTTAGCTGACTAAGCGTGATGTCCAGCGACGGCTTCGTCGTCTTCTTCGATTCCATTGGGGCAGGTGAAGAGTGGCGAAGACCAGTGCTGGTAAAGAGCGAAGATAATGACGTGTATGTCGCGTGTGGTATCATTGAGATGAATGAGTCCTCGAAGGCTGAAGTGGTCATCGTACCGACAAAGTCTGATCGACCGGCCACCTGCGTGGGTGGGTTAAAATTATCGTCAAATTGGCTCTTCATGTCCTTCGACGGACTCTTACTCCTGTCGGACGCGATCCTTGTAGGTGATGGCGAGGCTTCGCGCTCTGGGAAGCCGTAGTGACAGTGTCCACCGCCCCCATACGGAGGTCTAGGCGGTGGTCTCATTCCTCCTCGGGCGCCTTGCTTCTTCGGCGGCAATGGCGGCGGGTTGATCAAGATGCCGGCTGCGTCTCTGGGTGGTGGCTCCGGCGCCAGATCCAGCTCCGCACTCGAGCTGGAGAGGCGCGAGTTCGCGTCCGATGAGCAAGACCTCAGCGGCGACGCTGGCGATTCGTTCGTCGTGGAGAAGTCCACCGGGAACGGTTTGCTGTCCATCGACTGCGTCATCTTGCCGGCTGGCAGATCAATGTCAAAGTCTCGCTTCCGCACAGACTGGAGATACTTCTTAGGGCTAGGCAGTTTCACTAACGTATGCGTCGATTCCGTCGAGTCCCTATCCATGCTTCGTAGAATCGAGCTGCTCGTGGAAGCGTTCGTGGACATAACGGTAGTAGTGGTAGTGGTAGTGGTGGTGGTAGTAGTAGTGGTAGTGGTAATAGTGGTGGTAGTAGTAGTGGTAGCAGTAGTGGTAGTAGTAGTAGTGATGGCCGCGGCGGTGATAGTGCTTTTGGATAATGACGTCTCCTCCGGCGGGAGGGACACCGAAAGTGGCTGATGATGCGTCGACCTCGCGGCGATCTCTTTCTTCGGCGGCGACTCGATCTGCTCCGACGTGCTCTGACTCGCCTCGTTCTCGTCGAAACGGTCAAAGTTGGCGAAGTTGCTCTCCTCACTGTCCCTCGTGGTCAGCTCACTCTGCTGGACCTTCGTCGAGTCTAAGGAGCTGCTTGTGGTGGTGATGTTGAAGTTTGTCGGAAAGCTGTCGCTGGAACTCGTGGAAACCAGATCCTTGAGGACCTTCTTCGGTGGATTCTTCAGATTCTGAAAGAAATCCTTCTTGTCCACGTAGGGCCTGATCAAGCCGGTCCCGAGGGGATCCAGCTCCGTGAACACGTCGATCTGTGGGCTCTTCGTCTGATTGTTGCGCGGCGTGGTCTCTACCGAACTCTGCAACGTGAGAAGCAGACGACACGTGTTAGGTGACGTTAGTAAATTACTTAAAGGTTTTTTTATATCGTCAAATTTAGGATTTTTATAATAATTTATACTATTGCTTCAGTATAGCGAAAGATACTGTGAAAAGAACTGTAATTTTATTACAGTTATTTTTACTATAATATTTTCTTAGCGTAGTGATTCTAATTATTTCTTAAATAATGATAACGGTGACGGTTGCTTTTATAAGAAATAAGTATACTTATGTACTCTTAAGAGATCTCAATTCTGGACTTACACTTACGTCCTCCTGATCCTTCTTCGGCGTCGTCGAGTCTTTAGACAGATTCGCGAGCTCGTTGTCGAAGAGATTCTCGGTCTCCTTGTCGAACCAGTGAATCGTGCTCTGCGGCGGCGGCGTTTTGCTAACTAGCGTCGTCGCCGGACTAGAAGTAGCGGATGCCGGCGGCGCCGGCACGGTGTGCTGTCGCTCCAGGTGTCCTCTCTTCGTTGAGGAGGGCGGCGGCGGCAATATCGGGCGAACTGTCTCTTGAAGCTACAACAAGTGCAGAGGCACGCGTTTGAAATTGGGTACATATGAGGCGTCTAGTTTCAGAGACGATCGGGTCAATTCGCGTGCGAAAGTTTTGGTAGAAATTCTTATTTGACCGTCGTATGTTTGTGTCGACGGAAGTCTCGCAATTCCTGAGAAAAACGGACTCGGTCGTCTGCGAAGCCAGCTCCTCATGCAATGATGGAAAAAAAAAGAATGATTCTCCGCCATCGACACTAAGATCACAATCTCGTCTATTTGCGTGTTAGATGAAGAAGACGTTTGCGTGTCGCAATACCTTCATGTTCGCGAATGAATCACCGAAAGGATCGGTCTCGAACAGATCGTCGGTAGACGGCACAGGATTTTCCGGCGTAATTTTGTCCATCTGATGGATGCCCTGCTGCAGCGAGTTCAGTTCGAACTGCAGATCCAGCAAATCCGCAATCACGCCGCTTTGCGACTCGTTTTTGCGATCGGCGGACTTCTCGATCTCGCAGTTGTTCGTACGAATTCGATGAAACGAGGACTCCGTGCCCGCTGCGCCCTGCGACAAATCGCGTTACACAACGCGTCTGGCATTTAACAGTTTACATCCTGCGTTTGCATCGCGCGGAATGTAGCACGTCACGTCTCGTCTCGTACCGTAGTTTAACCGATTCACTGTTCACCCGCTGAGATCGCGTCGCGCCGACTACAGTCGCGTAGACAGCGAGACAGATAATTACGATCAAGTGCGATTAGCGTTAACTGACTTCTCTTAGAAGTCGTTTCCGCAAACATCGGTTGGAGTTAACTTTAACCGGCCGGAGTTTTACGCTCAGCTCCGATTCACCGGTGTTTCTTCCTTAGGCAGAACAGACAGTAGTTCATTCAAGCTCAACTTGTCCTTCTTTCCTTCTCTCTATCGTTCAACGTTCTCTCTCTTTATTTTTTGCAAAATTTACACTATCGTCAAAATGTTAATATGTTTCACTTATGCAGGACATATGCTCCAGGACATTAATGAACTATCTGCCTCTCTGGTTCTGTTTCTCTAGGAAGAAACGCGGGGTCGGTCAAAGTTAACCGGTGTTTATGGCAATGAACGATGGACAATGATACTTGAGCCGTGCGACAGGAAGAACGTGAAAGCAAATAAAAAAAAAAGACAAGCAGGGAGAACCCTGAGCCTGAGGACAGTTTAGCCGGTGAATATCTCGACCGCGGCAGTTATTCCGAGGGACCGAACTTACCTTGGTGTCGGGCGCCGGCTCAACGAAAATACCGCCGGTATGGAATTTAATTGCGTTAATGGCATTCTGCTCTATGTGCTGTTTCGCCAGCTCGATCTCCTTCTTCTTCAGCTCGAACACTACTTGAAACAAGTCTCGCATCGCTATCACCACCTATCGAATAAAATTTCTCCTTGTCATTTCTGCGTCGTGTCAATACGAGCTTGCCTATCTCGCATATTCGAGATAAGATATTCTTCGAAATTTTTCCTCGAGAAAATGTTGCGAAAAATCACAATATTTAAGTGTGTGAGAGAAAAAGATATCTAGAAAACAAAAAATATTTATTCGATGAGTATTAATAACATTCATTTAAACATATTTTTTTATTTGAACATAGAATAAACATTTTTTTATTTGAACATAGAATAAACATTTTTTTTATTTGAACATAGAATAAACATTTTTTTATTTGAACATAGAATGGCTTTTGCGAAAAAAGTTTTAAGGCTCGTGGATTTTTGCCGCGATCATCTTGGTTTATGACATCTGAAGTGAGAACATTTTTAAATACGATAAATAAAATAAAATGATATGTTTACAAAATGATATTTGCAATCGATCGACCCGTAAAATAGTCCGAACACTTTCCTTTTGTTTTAATAATCAATAAATAACCGTCAAATTAATGTGACAAAATCATGAGAAAAGATAGGTTAGACAGGAGAGTTGTATGACATGTCGAAGTATCATTTTATATGAATACATCTCTTTACTTTAGCGTTATTTTGCAAAAACTTTTAGCGTGCATTTTCTCGCTCCTGACTTCATCAATCAAGAATTCCGCGGCAAGGAGCCAAAAGTCTTGAGAAAATGTATATTTTCTTCTATGCAAAAACATTTTTTTTTATACAGGGTGTCCCATACTCTCCTTCTCATATTAAGTGGGAATGTAGAACGGGTTGAGGTGAACATAAAAGTCCTATACCGTTTTGCGATATTCGCAACAATAGTCGAGATATTAATTAAAGAAGATTGGTGGATGATCACGCGCGATCTGGTAGATGAGCTGCAGTGGTGCCGTCTGCCGTTGTATGTATATTTATACATTAAGTCAAGATGAACAAAAAAATCCTCTACATTTTGCAAATGACCACATAGATTTTTAGATATTAAAGAAAATTGTTACATATATGATTGTGTATCATAATGCACAAAATTTCTTTAATATCTAAAAATCTGTGTGGTCATTTGCAAAATGGTAGAGGACTTTTTTGTTCAGTTTGACTTAATGTATTATAAATATACAACGGCAGACGGCGCCACTGCAGCTCATCTACTATATCGCGCGTGATCATTCACCAATTTTTTAAAATTAATATCTCGACTATTATTGCGAATATCGCAAAACGGTATAGGACTTTTATGTTCACCTCAACCCGTTCTACATTCCCACTTAATGTGAGAAGGAGAGTATGGGACACCCTGTATATATTAATACGTTATTGGTACTCACCAAATAAATATCTTTTATTCCTTAGATATTTTGTCCTTCAGTGCGTTATTTTTTAAGAAATCACTTGTGAGATATCAATAAGTTTTTCCGGATATCGTATTTTTTTCTCTCTCGCGAAATTCTTATGAGTATGTATGATAACCTTGGCGGAAAAGTACAAGGAGAAAACATAAGATTTTCTCCTGTATCTTAATTAAAGGTATCCTCTTGGAATCTCTAAGATTCTCGAGAACTTCCACGTAAATCCGCATCAATATTCCTCCTCTTCGGAAAGGAAAAAAACCGGGAACACCGACCACGCCCGATGGCGGTAATTTCCGAAAGCCTGCTCCTACCGTTCGTTCTGTTCTCGCCCTTGCCTCCCCCCCTCTCCCTCTCCTCTCCAACACGACAAGCAACCCCTCTGTTTGCCGCGATTCCGCGCCAGTTGAAACCTCCAGCAGCGCGTCAAACGCGACCACTGTATATACGGGCGAGGAGGATTACCGAGTCGTTTACAGGAGCCGAGCACAGAAATTAAACTTGGAAATTGAATGAAGGCGTAAGGTTGTTGAATTAATTTGCCACCTGTCGCGCGAGCTACCCGGCTGATTTCATTCTCGCGCGATAATCGCCGCTATTGAGTTGCGAGTTGAGGGCCCGGCAATTGTGCCCGATCGAGAGCGAAAGTCTCTCTCTTTCTCTCTCTCTCTCTCTCCCCCTCACTCCCTCTCTCTCTCTCTCTCTCTTCCTTCCCTCCCTCCTTCTCTTTTGCGCGTAACGCAGTTAAACATATTCTGCGACTTAATCGTGGCTAATTAACTGTCGTAAACTTCCATTGTGTTCGCCGCATCGTGTCTCAGCTTCGCGTCTTGTCTGAAAGCTGCCCGCGAGCGCGCTAATACGTTACCGCGTGGATAATGCCGCGTCGTTGAACTCACGGAACTATTCTACCTGACGAGGTGCATCGGGACAGATGAAGTTGCATGAGACAAGTCTGTCAAAAGAAATGAAGGAAGAAAAGCTTCCCTATATTTCCCCAGTGAATCGGACCGGGCAGACATCGGTGATACCACGCGATTTTGACCAACAAACCGCGCGATCGAAAACACATTCTACACGTTCTGATCTCGCGCGGTCTTCGCTCTCTCACGTCGACACATGAGGAGGAAGTGCACGGTATCAAAGGGATACGTACGCGAGACCACTCAACGCGGCTAAATCGCGCGGTGTTCAAGTACAAAAGTGGGATATCGGCGGATTTGAATATCAAGAAGTTGCTGGGCCGATCCCCTTTGAACGCGGACGCGAGGCGAACCGTGAACAATCCGGCAACAATCTCCCGCGGCGAAACGAGGGGACGGCGTCATCGGACTCGGCGTCGTTCGGCGAGCCGAACGATGTAATGCAATTATTTACATACGCGTCCGGGATTACGGTCGCCGGGGTCGATATTGCTTCTCGGATTGGGCAAATATCATTCTAGACTCCCTCTAACTCTGTTCTCTTTCTCTCTCCCCCTATCTTCCCTATCCTCATCTCCCTCTCACTATTTTCCTCCCTCTCTCTCTTTCTCCCCTCTCTCTCTCTCTCTCTACGACACAACCCCGTTCCCGATAATTGACACACTTTAACCGAGCTCGCAGACGTAGGAACGCGTACCGCCGCGAAATTGTAATCGCTCGTGCGTGCCCCCGATAACGCGCCCTCGAGCTGCGAAATCAATTCGATAGCCGGCCGCCCCTTGCAGCTCGTACCTTGATTAGATTTTCGTACGTTCGCCGAGAGCGATACGGTGGAAGCTTTAAAAGCGACGCGCACGTGCGCGGAGGTGTGACAATCGCGAACGAGAGGATTGCGTCGTTCTGCACATCCGGCGTATTTTTGTTCACCGTGCATTAGACGGGGACGTATTCTCGGTTTAGCAGCGAAATAACGCAACGAGATAATGCAACTCACCTGACTCGCTGCCTTGTCAGTCTTAATGCCGAAGAACCGGTGCCCCGTGTCCGGAGAGCCGAAAATGTAACCAAAGGCTCTCGAGTCGCTCATATCCTGAGCTATGAACGATATTTTGTGGACTGGATGATGGTACAGGCAGTCCTGCGAAGGATCAATAAGGATATATAGCTATGAGTTACATCACTAATCAATTCGTTCTCCTTTCGTGCAACAACTATGTTTCAATGTGATAGTTCGTTGCAAAAATTAAGACTCTACGGTTTGCAAGCAGCATTCTATTATCGCGAGAAACGTGTGCCACATTGGCCGAACGAAAGATACACGCGATTGTCGAAAGGAAAGATCTATTTCTAGAGCTAGAATTTTCAATTTCGTGGTTTACGATATATCTGAGCGAACTCACCCCCGTCTTCTCGTCCCTCAAACGAAGCCCGTCTATGCTGACCTGAACGGCGATTCGTTGCTTGTGCTCCCCCGCGGCGCGAATCGCCATCTTCAGGTCAGCCAAGGCCGCCTGGCACATTCGGTCGCCGCGTGCTTCCGACACCTCCAAGATACCGATCAGCTTCGCCTTGAATGACACGCCCTCCCCAAGAAAGCGGGTTGGGTCATTCTTGACTAGAAGAGAGAAGTTGGTTATTTCATCGGGCGTATTTCGGTCTCTCTCGAGGGAGTTTACTATAACTCCCCGACAAATAAATCTTTTATCTGCTTCATAATTTTACCAGAAAAATTCAGCAATCCACAAATTCGGAAAAATCGGGAACTTTGCAGAAATATAGTGACATCGCTATTTTCTTGTTTGGTCGAAAAAAATAATAATGAGAATGAAAATTTTTAAGAAAAATATGATTATTCATATTGTTTTAATCTTTAAAACGATAAGAAATGTTGAAGGAATATTAACTACAAAATTTAATATCGCATTTTATAATTTCTCTATTTCTTTATTCCTTTTAATTAGCATTTTATTTTCATCACTTTGGGAGTTTTATTTTTTATCTCATTTCCTCTGTAACATTACGATAAAAAATAATTTCTGACGTTTGAGAGTTATTTTTTCTTCAATTTTTTTATCACAATTGATTATCATGGCTGATCTCGACCAAGACAAAAAATAGCTATATCACGTGTACCCTCTTCCTGCAAAGTTTCAGATGGTATAGAATTCACAGCTTGCCAAACCTTCCTTGTCAGACTAAGTATGGTCTGAGTCAAAAGTTTAGTCATCGACTGCGATTGTTAAGCAATAATGAAGATTATTAATAAAGACTTCAGCCTTCAGTCAAACCAAGTTTTGTCGGACGGAATTGGTCGGCGGTGCGAACGAGCTTACAGTCGTTCTCTCCGCGTGTCGTTCTCCGTCCGCAAGATGAACCGTCGCGGAAGTAACGCGAAAATGCGAGTACCTAGGGACAGAAGAGCGGTTCATTGTAATGTCACGGCGTGTGGGCCCCGCTCAGTGAGCTCTCACGAAGGAGACGGCCGGCGGATCGAATTATCGTATTTGAAGCCGCAGGGGTTCGAAGAGAGTGATCCGACGGCGATAGGTTCGAATGCATTAAACCGACATCGATCGGTCGCGCGACCAATTTGACCGGCGGGACTATAAAATGAGAGAAGCACGCTCGAGTACCTCGCGGAACGATCCCGTCAGCGAAGACCGGCGTCCAAATTAATCGTTCGGAACGGAACACGATAATACGGTCGATATCTATTCGCTGGCTGCGATAACGATACCCGCGTCTACATGCGCTGACATCCGTCTGCAAAACGGAAGGTTACCTTCACAAATGTGTGGAGCTGGCGAGAAGGGGGAGAGGAATCATTGAAAATTATACACTGAAAAAAAAAAGATTTTATTGTCGAAAGGAAAATTAGGTACACCGGGTCAAAATTTGGTTAAAATAGGATCAACCAGATGTTTAGTAACTGCGACTAAAAAACTTAATTTAATCGCTTCTATATGTGTTTTTTTTTTACTTTGTCATTAATACAAGTACTTGATACAACTGAAAACATGGTAATGTCAACAAAATTATATGTACTAAGTATTTTAACTAAACGTGTATCTAAGTATGTATCTTAATTCTTAATAGCCTTATTTCTCTATTAAATGCTATTTTAGTTCTGCAGAAATAATTTATATATATATATATATATATATATATATATATATATATATATATA